AGGTTGGCACCGGCTCCAATCCAGTGCGTCATGACGGTGGTACGCTGTCCATCGCTAAGTCCAGAAATGCTCTCTGGGCTGCCCACTGCCAAGTTATCCATATCTGGGTAAATGTTTAACTCGTCAAAGAATTGTAGACCAGCAATAATCCACTGGCGATAGTTGTCAATGGCGCGCTGTACAGTACCCCAGCTTACCAGGGTACTTGATCCAGAGTTGTTAAGATCCTGGTCAGTCCGCATAGAGTCGGCGTTGCTGTTCCAAATGTCAAAGTAGGTTTGAGTGCGGTCCAGCTTCCAGGAGATGTCCAAGCGCATCTGTCTGCCGCTGTTCTTGATGGCGTTGTGCCAGGCAATGACAGAGCCGCTCTGGTCGGCTGGCAGACTCTGACCGTTGTCGGGAGAGCCTGGCGTGACAAAATCCAGCTTGACAAAGTCAACACCCCTTTGAGACGCTGTTAGTATTTCTTCGTAATCATTGTTTTTGCTTCAGACGGAATGAATATACCATGATGCAAATTGGTCAACTACAGAGTTGTGCCAGTCTTGTGTCTCCGGCCGCGTATAGTCGAAAATGCAGCGGAGCAAGCCCTCATTTCCCGTGCACACTTCGCCGATGGTGGTTTCGGTTCCCAAGATTGTCTTATTCGCATCACTGATGAAGGCACCCGGAACGACGTAGACTCCCATTTTGAGGCCCTGGCTGTGCAGTGAACTAGCCAAGGAGGGAATGTCGAAAATAGAGTCATCATAGATTAGTCTACCGTTGTCGTCGCCGTGGTCACCCACTGACCAGCCGGAATCCAAGCTACAGGTGTCATATTGGCCTTTAAAAGAACCTGACGCCAACACACTGCATTGAGTCAAAACGTGTGATTGGTCGAACTGGAAATCAGGAGCCGTGTTGGGATTTGCCTGCAGAGCAAAAGAATTCCAGCCTCTCGCTGGGCCCTGGAAGCCATTTGGAGTCTGGGCAAAGCTGATGACTTTGAGCGGCGTTGCAGCGGGAGCAGTTGGAGCTGCTGTGACGCCGGCGATGCCGAGTCCAAGATAGATGAGCTCAAGACGAGGCATGACTGACTTGATGGCCGGAGAATGAAGAGGAACCTGTGGCTATCATGATGGGATACAGCAAGTCTATATATATATTTGCTAATATCCACAACAATACGCGTCTACCTCTTCCCGGCGGGTTAATGACAATGGAAAGTCTTTCGGGATATTGCCAAGGCGTTCATTTCCTCCTGATGATCATATGAGATGCTACAACCCTCAAACTTGTTGCCGCTCAACCGCCAGTTGCTTCAATTGCGCGGTCCACGTAATATTGCCCAGCTTTTGTAAGCCCTGTCTCAACACGAATTCAGGCCGTCTCCCCGCAGGTAACCCCCGAGAGTGTTTCCGGTCCAATCCAGACAGACGGATCGACATAGTTCTTCCAGTTGCGGCAATGCCAATATCCTGGTAATGGGGCGGCTCTTCCACCTCGTGGGCGTTCTTTGACGGACGCTTTGCAAATCGTGGCTAGTCGCGAACGCAGCCCATGCAAATGCGGAGTACCCCATATTACAGAGACGGAGAAATGTGATGATATAAAGGGAATTCCATCGTATTAATCCATTTGCGCGGATTCTTTTTCCGGTCACAGCTTCATCAAGATGACGACATTGCTGGGGCATTTTCTCTTTTGGTTCGCATCTTGGCGGAAGAATTAGTTTCAGCTTCCTGTAACGCTATAGCGGCATTTTTCACTACTTCATGAGGATCCAGCCTCGCGAAACTTGGCACCTTGGCCGACGTATAATTTCTTCTCTCTCGGCACTTAGACTATCTTGTTCTGAAGTACGGAAATGTATTTATCCGACAAACTGTGTGAAAAAATACCTTGATTCTATGTCTTTGTAATACCCTAGCAACCGCATCACGTAACTGTGACTGTCTGTTTCTGTTTCGCTTTTGTCTGGATTCGATCTCTCACGACTTCAATTGTTCCTTAGCTTCCCCGCATAAATATCCCACGATCCGACCGGACTTGTTTAATGAAGCATTAAGCAGAGGCCTATTTTTTTCCGTTTGTCTAAGGTTCTAGCATGGGTTTTGAATCGTGGGCGTTTAGCCGTCATCTCGCAGGTGATAGTTTCGCGAATCTGCCTCCCGATGACAAACAATCATGACCAAACAACCACAGTCACCACTACTGCCACAGAAGCTGTCTCTCTGAGCTACTCTTTGACAATAGGCTATTGAGCATTGCGACGGCGCCGGCTGTGATGAGGCATATCAAAAGCATGCCCTCGCAGTTAGACGCAAAAACGCAAAAACGCGTACGTTAACTGATCATGCAAAAACGATTTACACAAGCGAACTCATCACGGGATTCAGGCTCAAGCAGCCATCTCTATCAAGTTGCGGTGGAAAGCAACGAGGTCAATGTTCAGGCAATCTTTTCCCGAACTCAGACCTCTCAAACGTCGGCACAAAGGGACTTGCTAATGCAACCACAGCCACCTCTCAGGAGTATTGCGTGAAATACCCGCGTGATTGATACAAATACCGACAGAGGCCGTCAATACTGTGACAAGCAGGGCAAAGTGTGGATTACGCAGAGAGGTACCTATCTGTCGCAACAATGAGCCAGCAACTCAACGCAGAGTCTAGCTGAAGGTGGAATGGTGCTGTATGAGCTTAATTGACCTCACAGAACTCCGAATGGTAGCAAAGAGTGTCTCAGGCCCCTCACTTCATACGTATAATTGTATTGGATGCTTTCTAATCTTATAATCTACAGGTTAGATGCGGAAATGCGCTAATCATAGCTCTCTATATCCGAACTGTGATCCTATCCAATACTGCGAGTCTTGTAATGTCTCAGAAGAATAAACAGAGATGAAGAACTTGGTCCTTGTTAATAACATATGATCACGGGGCCATATACAGGTAGCTAAATGATTAGTAAAGAAATGTCACCTGTAGGTAAACATCTTACTCATTGCGTTTTGTGATCATTTTGCGGACTTCCCTGGATTGACTGAGCGTAATGGAAAGAAAGATCTTGCGAATCGAAGTAATAGGAAGAGTTTTGTGCCAAAGAGCCTTTTCCGTTTTTGGAGAATAACAACTAGAAACACGATGATTAAAGATCACAGCTGAATGGTTTATATTTCCTTATTCGATCGCGCTGATCATGAAACGGAAGTGTTTGTAAGTCATAAGTAGGAAGCATGGCCTGGTTGCTCTACTCCCTCGAAGGATACAACTAGGTAGGTCTAAAAAAGAGAAAGGAGGGGAATAATTAGAACAGCCAATTCTTTATCATAACTTCGCCCCGATGATCTACGGCTATAGCCGGGATTTAGTTTGTCGGAAATATATTCACGTCGATCATCCGTTCTCGGGATGTCGGTCGGACTCAAGCGGACTCATTTCGGATCGCATCGCCTCACTTGAGATACATCCCGCATTGGTAAGCGGAAGTTTTCTTGAAGGCAGCTCGGTCCTTTGACACGCATTCACTGAGTCTGGAGCCTTGGCAGTTTTATGACCAATGTAACAGTTAACCTACATTATTACACACGGCCGAATATGATTAAGGAGCAGATGTAAGAGGACCAAAGGAAGCTCAAGCATGTCGTGCTATGGCTTCAGCAAAGAGTGACGACTGGATATCTCTACAATGGCTCCACGACTTTTCTTTCATCTGATCTTTACTCGCCGCTTGGGTAATCGATTGAAAGAATTTCCTTGAACATAATGTTGCATTTGTGCGGGTCGTGCATGAAGAGCGAGTTTAAAGCGAGTTAAGAGCGAGCTGACCCCTGCAAAGATTCGGTGGCTTATTGCCTTATACGGGATATAATTACGAGGCTTGGATACCTGTGTAGCCTTCCAAGTTTTTAATTCCGATTCCCATGACCAACCACTTCTAATCGAAAATACATTTGGGTTTGTTATGGCGGACGAATCATTGAGCAAAAATAGAAGTCCGAGAATTTATCTGCGCCATCATCACTGACCTTGGTTTTAAGCGCAGGAATATGAGGAAAGAAAGTCACCAATATTGTTCATGAATCATAAACTTCTGTTGTGGCCCTTATCTAGCAATGGTGCCTGTTATTCTATCATTTGATAGTGGTTTTCAATGAAAGCTTATAATCATAAATACATATATTTTGACATAAAATTATGACTCTTAGCTTCTGGGTAGCTGTTGAAACTGGTCAAATAAGGAAATATTCGCGACGCTTTAAGGTTGAGATCGGAGATTGGAGACCATTCACCCTATTTTCCCTTGAGCTCAGCAATTCATCGCATCCAATCCCTTTGTATTCCCATATCTCCGTAACAACACCCCCCTGTAAACACCAGATGAAGTCTTTCACTCAAATCCTTCTTATGACCGTTGTTCTCGGGTTTGAAAGGGTTCTTACGCGATGATTAACATATGATGACTGATGCTAAGTGATACGGACGGCTCCAAGCATGGTTACCTTGTGGATGGAGGTGACTGGGACTGTGTGTAACCCTTCGGAACTACGGGAACTTCGATTATTGGTTCAGAACAGCCTTTCGAAACGAGTATGCCCTTTTTGACAGCGATGCTTGTGAACCGGGTGAAGCGAGAGTTACATGAAATGCTACGAACATCTTGTATGGTAGACATTATGTATATAAGCTCTCCGGTATATCTTCAAGAATTCTTAATTGCAGCTCATGCGTTCATTCATATCACACCTCGTCCATGCCATTACGCCTCTATAATCTAGTCCGCAGAAATATTTCTCAGTTCCAAATATGATTAGCAAAACGGCAAGTCTTTACCAACTGCTGATAAGAAGAAGAAAATACTCTAACATAAGGAATAATCAGGTTATTCACCACGAAACGCCGGTATTGATAGTTGGCGGAGGCCCTGCTGGCTTGATTGTGGCCCTCCAACTCGCTCGTCATGATATAAACTGCATGCTAGTTGAGCGCAACCTGGATACCACGAAATGGCCGAAAATGGATCTCACCAACTGCCGTAGCATGGAACTATTTCGCCGAATCGGAATATCTGAAGGATTGCGAGAGATTGGTGAGCTTCTCCAACTATCAACCAGCAGCGTTATAAATCCTTACCGATCCCAGGTGTCCCACCACAATACTCGTTTGATGTGCTTTTCAGCACCGGTTATTCACAAGGCGAAGAAGAGATAGCCAGATGGGTGAGTTGAGAGTTAAGAACTCGGGGGGATACAAGGGACGATGCTTGAACTAATTCGGTCCGATCGTGTAGAAGCTCGATTCTGTCGATGCTTGGTGGCAGCGTATTAAATCTCAGAACGATGGGTCCCTTCCCCGAGAGCCCTACCAGCGCTGTTCCCAAGCTGTCTTGGAGGCATGGCTCAAGCCCCGAATTCAAGCTGAGGAGCTCATTGATGGCCATTTCGGTCTCAAGTTTGAGTCCCTCACAGAGACGGACGAGGGAGTGGAATCTCAACTCACAGATGTTGTCACCGGCGAACAACACATTATCCGGAGCAAATACGTTGTGGGATGTGATGGAGCTGGTAGTCGTGTCCGCAAATCGATTGGGATCAATCTACTCGGTGGGCCTGTGTAAGTTACGGAAGTCCTTCATGCCTTGCTCCCAGCTCTTCTTATTGATGGCCTTTAAAAAATACAGCCCAGCTGCAATGATGTTAATCCATTTCAAATCACGAGATCTCTCAAGGATGCAGAAGCATGGCCAATTTTGGCACATTTCGTTCGCGTCCGGCGCTTTCATCATTGCTCAAGATGAGGTCGACACTTGGACTCTACACACCAAGATTCCAATCGATACTGATTGGGAGAAGATGGATCCCGAAGAGACCATCTACAATGCGCTTGGAGGTCCATTAGGGCCATTCTCAATCAAGATTGACGAAATTCTAGTCAAAAGCAGCTGGCGACCGAATATTTGCATCGCAGAGAGCTACACATCTCCAGGCGGACGCGTCTTCCTCGCGGGTGATTCGGCGCATCAGAATATTCCTACGGGAGGATATGGAATGAACACTGCCGTTGGTGACAGCTTCGATATCGGCTGGAAACTTGCGGCTACTTTGAAACAGTACGGCGGTAAAGACCTCTTGAAATCGTATGAGTTGGAACGGCTGCCCATTGCATTGCGGAATATTAACGAATCAGGCACCTTTTGGAAAGTTTGGGCTACTATCTGGTCCCGGGTTGCCGAAATAAGAACTGATACTCTTCTATCTAAACCCGAAGAATTAAAAGCCATCAAAGCCGATACAGCTGAGTTCTTTAAAACCAATGATGCTGAAAATAAAAGTCATGGCATCGAGCTTGGCTACCGATACAACGCATCACCGATTGTCGTTCCAGATACAGAGGCTACGGAACCGGAATGGAACATTTTGCATTACATCCCGTCAACCTGGCCAGGAGCCAGAGCGCCACACGTCTTCCTCTCCGATGGGGAGACAAGCGTGTTTGACTTGTTTGGGCAGAACTACACGATTGTCGACTTTTCCGAAGAGGGTAAATGGGCAAAGCCATTTACTGAGGCTTCGAAGCGCCTTGGAATTCCCGTCAAAGCTGTTCATTTACCGCAAGAGAAGCACGTGCACAAAATCTGGGAGCGGACCGCAGTCCTGATCCGGCCTGACGATCATGTCGCATGGAGATCCCCCCTGGATGAAGCGACATTTGACGGAGATGTGGATGGTATCTTGAAGATTGCGGTAGGCCAGGCATCAAACACAGAGGCTGGAGTTCTAAATAAAGAGCGAGTGTTGGCTGAGGTTCGGGAGAAGGGGTTTGCAGGCACAGTCGGAAATGTCAACCAAGACAAGGTAGCAATGAAGGCTGCGTTTCAGGTTTGAGAAGAGGAGGAATAACTAGTACGGCGACAATCCTCGAGAAGGGATCAAGATGATAAATTACATGCATGAAATACTCCTGTGTATTATTTTGCTAATGCGGAACTTTTGTGACGCGGAGAAAGTTGGAGTAAGTGAGTCATTCGGTAAAGTTTTTGGCATATACATTATAGCATCTCTGCTGCAGTAACCAGGTACCGAGCGAGATTTGTGACCCATAATCATCATCTGCATCTCAGTCACTATTAATAAATCTGATTCTTATTCATTATGTCTAGCGACTCCAACTTTGCCACAATAGTCACTCCATCTCAGCTTACCACCTCATTCAAACATCTCTTCTCCAATATTCCCTCGTCAGATCCAACCATTCTCGTACATTCCTCTCTTCGATCCGTCGGCTTCATTCCTGGATATTCTCCCTCAGTCATCCAGTCTCTTCTCTCCGCCCTCGGTCCTTCTGGCACCATCGTTGTTCCAACTCATACAGGCGATAATTCTGATCCTGCCGCGTGGCAGGCACCTCCAGTACCAGAATCATGGTGGCAGCCAATTAGAGACTCTATACCGGCCTACGACCCAGCTACAACTATCACCAGAGTCGTTGGTGTTGTTCCCGAGACGCTGCGAACATGGCCTGGCGCCCTCCGTTCAGCTCATCCACAGACATCCTTTGCGGCGTTGGGTCCTCAGGCAGAGCGCATCACAGAGGGACACGCACCGAATTGTCGCTTAGGTGAATCAAGTCCACTGGCAAAACTTGAAGCTGTGGATGCTTGGGTTTTGCTTCTCGGGGTTGGTTGGGACAAATGCACAGCTTTTCATCTCGCCGAATATCGTATCGAGAATCCTCGTCTGGAAGACAACTCATTTGCCATAAATATAGATGGCCAGCGACAATGGATTACGGTGCAAGACGTGGCTATTACTGATGAAGATTTTGAGCGGCTTGGAGCTGACTTTGAGAGAGATTGCAGGGTCATACATGGAACTGTTGGAGCAGCTGACTGCCGGCTGTTTTCTTTGCGAGAAGCAGTCGAGTATGCAACAAGATGGATGAACAAGAATAGAAGCAAACAAGATTGATGATGCAGGAATGCAGGTTTACTCATACCGTCACAGAGCTTTCGGAGAGGGAGCTGGGGAAGAAATGATATTATTTGGTTGGATAATGTATATCTTGATGCTTCATGATACAGGATTGGCTTGCTTCGTGACTAAAATTGAATCAGAGAGCTAACTCATGCCTGTTTCTCACGAGATATAGCATCTTGAGATAGTGTGCGGCTTCGTATGATAGATAGCCAACTCTGTGCATATACCTCGCCTATTTTTCTCTCCCTCTCAAGGGATCCTTCTTCAAACATTCCCCAGTCTTTATAACGCCATGCCAATTCGTAAAGTATGACTGCCACCAACGCCCTTGAACTCCGAAATGTACTGTGATCGACGCCCGCAAAAAGGTCATGCCATGGACCCAGCTTTTCCCACCTCTCAGCCGTATCGCCTCTCCTCTAGCCAGACTGGAACAGGGTATCTTCGTCACGCAGATACTCGCCGCAGTCAGCTTGTCTGAAGCAAACAACTCCAGTGGGATCGAGTCTCCTGCTCTCCGCGGTGCTGCGAGCGCTGACTCCGAATCCCAGAGGAACATCGTCCATAGTGTAGACAACCAGGCCCTGGTGCTCGGGGCAGTCTTCTGAGTAACGACCGACGTGCGCCTTGACAACGTTTCCGCCGTAGAGGAATGGCATGACTCCGTTGGGGCGAATCCAGAGTTTGTGTCGTGCGTGCTCGGCGAGAATGGGGAGGGCGGTGATGTGGATTCGGAATTTGCCAGACTTTGTGAATTTGCCTATTCGTAGGACTCTATGTTAGTTTGCGCCCACAGACGGGTCGGAGGAAGAGTAGCGCATACCCAAGCAAGTTCCTAGAGAAAGGAGATTGTCGCGAGAAATTGAAGTTGCCAGATTGGCCATGGAGAGGCGGACAAGATAGACTCGGTTCTGCGACAGGCGAAAGACGTTTCGATCGCCATCCTCTTGGGGGGCGATGATGTTCTTGAGCGATGCGCCGGTGTATTCAGCGAGCTTCTTGAAGACGGCCTGTGTCTCTTCTTCGGTGAGAGGACGCATTGTGGAATATTTTGTTGTTTTTTGATATACGGGAGACGAGGATTGGTAAAGTTCGATTAATGGCAAAGATTTGAAGGCTAGATCCAGGAACAAAATGTTTGGCCCAGAAGTTTTTCAGAGTGATAAGAAATTTCCGATAAGAGGTACAGAATTGGCTGTGGGGCTAGTCGACGTTAGATGCAGAGGTACCTCGTCACCCATGGTTTGCGTTGTGGGAACCTCAACGCTAAACTGTACCCGCGCTATGCTCTATGAAGTAATTGGACGAGAAGATTGTTAAGAGGAAATGAGTGTCGAGGTGGATTTTACATTCAATGATATCATGAGTAACGTTCAATAGATGAATGAACTCAATTGCCTCGATTGAATAGAATTACAAAATATGCGTAAAAGATGTACTTCGTATACATTTTGAAAAAGAGCTTCAAATCATCCTCTCTGGTGAATAAAGACAGCTCAAATACCAGCGCTTGTAAGTGCCATTTACCTGTCGGTATTCACTAGAGTTTTGGCTTCACCCCGACTTAAGATATATTATACTGCGCAGGACATTTTGAGGCATCTATTTCTCTTTTTTAATCTCTGTATTATCTCAAATCTCATCAGATCTAATTTTAAAGCTGTTCAACGTGAACAAACAGCAATCATGATATCTCAATACTCTTTAGTATATCTGCACAACCATATTGACATAAATCATCAATGCTGAGACGCAAAAGCAGCCGCATACACATCCATATCGGCAACAAACCCATTGGTCCGTGTCGGCTCCCATCCAAGCAACTGTTTGGCGCGCGATGAAGATCCGCGCAAAGTTGTGCTCATGGCTTCGGCAAACAAATTATCGCCAGACCCAACCAGCTTGTATTCTCCCTTGTAACCCCAAGCAGAAGCCATGGTTTTGAAGATCTCAGACATGGACTCCTGGCTAGTGAGCAGATCAAACACCGGGTACACAGAGCCGCTGTTAATCAGAGACAGATTCTCAATCGCCTTTTGGAAGCCGGTAGCCACGTCGTCAACATGAATGAGCGCCGGCCTCGCGTCAGCTTGCAGAGGAACGTTGACAGGTTCCGAGGAGCCACTTCGAGCTGCTTGAAGGAGAGGGAGGATAAAAGAGGTCCAGATAGTGTTTTCGTAGCCATAGATCAATGCTGGTCTCAGGACAGCAACATCCAAGACATCGGAAGATGCCAAGATGGAATTCTCAAGGCCAACTCTCCACGCGACAAGAGCTCTTGGAGGAGTGACACCACTAGGACCAGCAATGTTGAGATCGTTCACTGCTTTATCACTAGATCCATGGACCCAAGTGCCCGAGCAATAGATAAATCCAAGCTTAGGACCCTTGATGCCAGAAGCGGCATAGCTGTTCAGTCGCTCTTGGCTGATCTCCTTGGCATGGCTGAGGAATTTGGCCGACTCTTGATTGGCACCGGCAATGTCAACGATAACGTCGATGTGGTAGTCGCGGACAGCCTTCATATATTCTTGGGGCTCATTTACTGGATCAGCGCAGATGATGGGCGTGACTTCTGCGAGAGCCAATGTTTTGGCCTTGGCCTCAGATCGAGCAATGCCGTATACTTGGTGCTGGCCGCTTCGAACTAAAGTCTCGGCTAGTCGCTTGCCAACATAACCAGTAGCGCCAAGGATGAGGACTTTGGTCATTTTGATTGGATGTTACTTTTAAAGGTATGTAAGTGGGATGTGACTGAAGAGATCGTGTTGGGGTGTAAGTTGATGTGTTTTGTTGTTGCTTGTTTCTTTCGGATGAGAGTGATCGGAACCATCTTGAAAAGTTGGAATCAAACATGATATATATATATTCCTGTACGTGTATGTCTTTGGCAAGTAGTTTATGATGACATTTGTGAAATCGCCTCTCAGTGACGACCGTGGTGCTTTTCGGAAACAAGACTTGAAGCCGCCGAAGCTCAACAATCCCAGATTACCCAATTCAGTAATTCTGTGTCCGCTTCTCTCCGCGACCTCTCAGCTATTCAGTGGTCAGTAATGAGAGAAGCTCCGGAGACCAACGTTACCGTTCCTGGATTAGGCCGTCCGCCAAAGCCGAAATGTCGGCCCAGACACATACAAACGGATATTGGCTGCACGCCTGGCTCTTTAATTCCGGTAGTATATGAACTTGTCCGACAGCTCCAAAGCCATAGTCGTACGAAGTTATGGTGAGATATAACACCGAACAGCCACAGCTTCTGCGCTTCCCAAATGCAGGTTGTAGCTGGAGCTCACTCACACAAATTACCCTGCATCTACTCGCAAAGAATTTTGTTACTCATGTCTACTTCAATGACGACGTTTGTACGCAATTAGCCCAATGGTGAGATGTCGCGATAGGGCGTTTGACAAATTAATTCGTTCAGACAAATTAATTCACCCAGTCACGGAAAATGAGGTTTGCACCTTCACAGATAAGTCGGCTTGAATACCTATTCTCTTACGGTATGAGCATTGGCTATGTCCAAAATATCCCCTTTTAAGAAAACCACTCATTTATTGACCTGCACAACTTATAGTAGGGAGAATAAGAGAACAATTAAGGTTGCTTGCAACTACAACGAAATGGCAATCGTCCCGAGGAATGAGAAGAAAACTCCCAAACAAGCAACTAAAGCGCAGGCAGCCGCACGTGATCCCAGCGATTAATGTCTGAGTCATACTCGCGTGGTCTAAAAAACCGGTCGCTTGCATTGCCTCGCTTGTCTCGTTTGTTAGTAAAGCTCTATCTTCGCCTAATGACGTTGTTGAATTGTAGAGTAAGGGCGTGAAAAATGCGCCCTCTGACAACTCTGTGATCTAGAACATTGAAAGCTCTGAAGAGAAAAAGTATTTAAACTGTTTCTCTATCAATTATCTTCTTCAATTTCTCTTCAGCTTTTTATAATCAGATTTACCTTATGTCTGAAACGCCGTCTCAAAGTCTCTTTATATTTCAACTAGAATTGTTACATCATCTCCATTTTCACAGCTCAACACCATGTCTCTCTCTGATCGAGCCACAAAATCTGAAAAGCACGGCCAAGATTTGCTGATATGGAAGGTTTTGCTGGATTTATGGGATCAAGAGACCAATCCCTCTGGAATTGTCAGCCTGGGCGTCGCCGAAAACAGGCTGATGCATGACACTCTCTCAAAGCACATCCACGACAATCTGACGCTGTCTAACCATGCATTTACTTATGGCGATGGCGCAGGAGGGTCCAACCATATAAAAAAGGCAATGTCTCGATTTCTCACCAAGCACCTCAAGCCTGTAACGCCAATTATTCCAGCTCATATCTCTGTCACAAATGGATGCAGCTCTGTGATTGAGCATCTTTCATGGGCATTTGCCAACCCTGGAGATGGATTTCTGCTAGGACAGCCATATTACGGCACATTTATCGAGGATCTGTCTGCACGAACAGGCGCAAAGGTTGTCCGAGTACCTTTTCATGATATCGATCCTTTGGGCGAAAACGCCGTTGCCAAGTACGAAGAGGCGCTGAAGCAAGCAGAGGCCAACGGGACGAAAGTGGCTGGATTAGTCCTTTGCAACCCCCATAACCCTCTTGGGCGCTGCTATAGCCGAGATACTATCGTCGGGCTTTTGAAGCTCTGCGAGAAATACCAGATCCACTTCATCAGCGATGAGATTTATGCCTTGTCCGTTTGGGACAACACAGTCGATACCGACGTTCCAGTTCAGCCGTTTACATCTTGCCTCAGCATCGAGACCGCCGGTATTATCGATCCTTCTCGGGTCCATGTCATCTGGGGCATGTCCAAGGATTTTGGGGCAAACGGCATCAGAGTGGGAGCCCTCATCTCACAGGCCAACCCGTCATTGCACGCTGCGCTGATTCCCGTCAACCTCTATAGCTCCGTATCATCCGTCTCGGATCATGTTACGGCTAACATTCTTGAGGATGATGTTTGGGTTGAGGCTTACATTGCTGAGAATAGGAGACGGCTTGCGGAACAATACAGGGCTGTGACATCGTGGGCAAAGGAGAACAACATCACCTATCGACCCGGTGTTAACGCTGCCTTCTTCCTGTGGGTGGACCTGGGAAGTAAATATAAGTCACTGCATCCCAATGCTGAGACGGACGACTTGAACAAGACAATAGCCACTGCACTGCTTAAGCACAAGATATTTCTGGCGTCTGGGACGGCGTTTGGCTCAGAAGAACCCGGCTGGTTCCGAATTGTGTTTTCACACCCAGGATACTATCTGCAGGAGGGCCTGAAGAGAGTAAGCAAAGCGCTGGCTGAGCTATGATTGGTTCCAAGGGTGAACATGGGCTTTAGGAAACTTTAAGCAGCGAAAGGAGTTAATGGATAATGTTTTTGAAGGACACATTGTGTGAGACTTCATCTGAACCTATTCCTCAATTAATACGTGACTATCTGTGAATGCACCGATTTCGGCATCCTGGATTTGGCTTCTGATTATGATCCTTGTGCCCCATGGTCGGCCGACTCTGGTCATTTTAGCTTGAGCCGGGTCACATTTGGTAACCTTTCTCTTAAGAAATGTAAGTCATGATAAAGAGCAGGCTGTTTTGGTATAGTGGATTTGCAAGCCGTGAACTTCTGTGAGGGGAAAGTGGGGATGTCAAATCAAGACCCGTAACTCGCGCCCTCTGTAAGCTTCAAGGTGTGGGAAAGAGAGACAAGGGCGGGCGGTAGTTAAGGTGTGGCTTACGGTAGATGAGGCTTGGTTGTAGGAAGTTGAGAACTATATATGCTGGTATTCGCTGATTCTTAGCTGAGCTGCAGGAACAATGTATGGAACATGTCAAAAGTTTCTACAGATAGCCAAACTGGTCACTGGAGTGTGATGATGAGTTGGGTAATGTCTCGAGCCGATCTCATTAGCAATTGGATTGTAACCCCGACCACCCGAGCTTTATCTGCTCTAGCTCAGACAGGAAGGCCAAGATAAGAATGCATATGGATGATCCAGACGTCATGAACAATGGCGTTCCTTGACTCGCGGCTTCTATGGGCTCTAGCCTTCATGGGGACTATATTTCTCCTCCATTTGAAGAACCAGAGTGCGCATTTTCTAATCTCGACAGCATCCTTGCTTCAATTCCCCCGCAGAGTCAACATGTTTCGAGCGCCGTTTCTCGGTGCCCCTTGCAAGAATTGATAGGCATCTTTAGTCACGCATCCACCATTATCCCATACACGTGTGGGCTAATAGTGTCTATCTAGTGAATCGGCGTGTTGACCAACAGCAACTCGGCATTGAGTCTAAAGGATGTGGTGTGTTGCACGGAAGAGAAGGATGAAGAGAGGGGTTGGCAGAGATTTGAGTATATAAGGCTGGCTTGATCCTCCCTCTGAGAGAATCGACGAGGATTCCCTTTGACAAGTCGGATCTCTGGTCTTCAGCAATTCTTGAACTTTGAGGCAGAAATGACCCAACTCCGGCTGAGATCGGTAGTTAAGGCACTCACGCTTTCTCTATCTATATTGCCTCATAGCTCAGCGTCTCCAACACCGCCATGCAGTACACCGCCCGGTGTTCACATTCCCAAACAGGGTGCCGTAGCCTCACAAAGCACGGTATGCAGTGAGATTGGTATTCAGCTGCTAAAAGACGGAGGAAATGCTGTCGACGCCCTCGTGGGCACAGTCTTTTGCGTCGGTGTCATTGGAATGTATCATAGTGGCATTGGTGGTGGTGGCTTCCTACTGTTGAGGACGAGTGATGGCAAATACGAGTTTGTCGATCTGCGTGAGACAGCCCCGGCTGCAGCAACTCAAGATATGTACAACGACGACGAGAATCTGAGTATTTACAGTGGCCTTGCAAGGTAATCTCGCAATAAAGCGGCATGTTCTTGAAGATTTATATGACTGACTGACTGACATCTCTATAGCGGTGTTCCTGGTGAGCTTCGAGGGACAGAATATATCCACAACAAGTACGGCGCTCTGCCATGGGCTCATGTCATCAAGCCCTCAATCGACGTTGCCAGAAACGGATTTAAAGTGACGGAGGACTTGATCAGCACTATCAAGTCGACGTCTCCTAACAACTTTCTCACAGAAGACCCAGCATGGGCCATCGACTTTGCACCCAAGGGGCGCCTTGTCCGGCTGGGCGAGACAATGACTCGAAAAAGATATGCTGATACGCTCGAATCAATAGCTCATCACGGCGCAGATTCTTTTTACACTGGTCCTCTCGCAAATGCCACAATTCGCGCCTTGAAAGCAGCGGGCGGGATCATGACGCTGGAAGATCTGAAGAACTACACCGTTGCCATCAGGGAACCCCTGCAGATCAACTATCGCGGTTACAAGCTCACGAGCACAAGTGCTCCGTCAAGTGGTGCCGTTGTACTCAGCGCTCTCAACACTGTTAGTGGCTACGAAGATTTCGGAGATCCGTCCCAGGTGAATTTGACCACGCATCGACTGGATGAAGCCATCCGATTTGCATACGGCCAGCGCACCCAGCTTGGGGACCCATCTTTTGTTGAAGGCCTTGACAAGTACTCAAAAGAAATGATTGCTCCTGCCACTGGAGCCGAGATTCGCTCCAAAATCTCAGACTTTAAGACTCAAAACGTCTCGTACTATGACCCCAAAGGCTTGGAATCCCTTGAAACTCCTGGAACTTCACATATTGTTGCTGCGGATGCCAGCGGAATGGCTGTCTCGATGACTACAACGATCAACTTGCTCTTTGGTTCAACGCTGATTGTCCCAGAGACGGGAGTCATCATGAACAACGAAATGAACGACTTTAGTATTCCGGGAGTTAGCAATAGCTTTGGCTACATTCCCAGCCCGGCCAACTATATTCGCCCAGGAAAGCGCCCTTTATCTTCCATTTCTCCTATTATAGCGGAGACTGCGGACGGAAAGCTTTATCTCGCCCTCGGTGCTGCGGGTGGCAGCCGCATTATCACAGCCAACATTCAGAACACGATTCACGTTCTGGACTCCAATATGACCACCGCTGAAGCATTAGCAAGCCCGCGTTTGCATGATCAGCTGGTTCCAGATCAGACCAGCTTTGAGTATGCATACGACAATCGCACGGTGGCTTTCATGAAGTCGCTTGGTCACAATGTTACTTGGGTTGCACCGGGACAGAGTGCCGCACAAGCTGTAAGACTGCTGCCGAACGGTACATTTGAGGCAGCTGGAGAACCTAGACAAGTGACGTCTGGTGGATTCGCTATTTGATACACGTTAATGAGCTATGTATATTTGATGGGTGTATTGGGCTCCTAGTATAGTGAGAGGCCTAGCAGGATGACAGTTATGTCCCCAGATACATAATAGTAAAGATACTACATATATTCTCCTTTAAAAAAGACCATTTTCTTTGCTCTAGAACAAAAATTATCACTTCCAATATTATGGCACTGGTTGCTGATGGCGATGAATAAGATCATAGTGGCATTGCCTTCTCCCCGTCACTGAAAGAGACGCCTGATATCTATCGAATTCTGCAATATTTGCTAGGGCTGCACTTCAAACTCGTTGTAAATAATATTCTTTTATTGGTGTAGTGTAGATAACGCAGTTCTAGGTATAGGGACTGACTGCATATTGCAGTATGTACGTCGTTCCTTATGGTTAGCTTCGCCCTTTCTGGCCGACTCTCAGCGCATTTCTAAAGACATCATTTAGTTCGCTCGCTTTTTAATGTCATTCTCCCACGAGGTGAGCAAATCCATAATCGAAACAGAGTTGGTCCAGCTTGGTGATGGCCTCGGGGCCTCCTTGAGACCTTGTGCGATGCACTCTTCCACACGCTTCACCTGGTGCCCAAAAGCATCCATCTGGGCTGAAACAACAATCTCTTCTGTCGCTCCACCATAAGTCTTAATCTCAATAACGTTGTCGCCCGCCAGTGGGAGCCAGGGGTTTGTCTTGAATCGCAGAACACCCTTGTCGCCCTGAATAGAAAAGGAAAAATCGTTGCCAAAGCTATCAGTTGACTGAATTGTGGCCAAGACGCCATTGTCGAACCGAACATTGAGAGAAGCGTCACGGGCATGCAGACTGCCTTCGTTGGACAGGTTGCCCATGCCAGTAAGCTGTCTCTTCTCAAACGCATCAGGTCCAAACGCCGTCTCCATGATGAAATGCACCAGGGAAACTGGGTAGCATCCCAGGTTGTAAATGGTGCCCATGCCCAGAGGGTTGGCCTTCTTCCAGATGTTGGCGGCGTAGTAGCCTGACATGCCCTTGATCGAGCCGAGAACACCAGATCGCACAATGGAGGCAACCTTCTCCATCAAAGGGTGAGAGAGATACATGAGTCCCTCGAGGAAGAAAACATTCGCCTCCTTGACAGCTGCAATCATAGCATGCGAATCCTCCATGGTTGTTGCGAGAGACTTCTCTGAGAGAATGGCCTTACCCCTCTTCGCGGCAGCAATCACAGCGGAAGAGTGCATATGGCTAGGCAAGCCGACATAGACGACATCGACCTCGGCATCGTCAATCAGAGCTTCCAGGTCCTGGTATTTGGTGGCGATGTTGTATTTTGCAGCAAAAGCGTCGAGACGGGCCTCATTGCGTCCAAAGACGGCCGTGATGCGTGAACCAGGGCTGGCGAGGATCGACTTGACAACGGTGTCAGAGATGAAGCTGGTACCAAGAATTCCCCAGCGCAACATCTTGAACTTTGTATTCTTCTTGATTCTTGTTATTGGATAAGAAGGAAGTCAATTGGGGGGAGAAGATGTCGAATACCGTGAAATGAATGTACAATTTTTAACGGCCAGGAACAGTAGTAAGCCGCGGCTTGATGCCAATTTTCAAGCTTAAAAGCGGACACACACTAATGAGATGGATGGAGATTTTTCTCTTGCGGAGCACGGCGGCCGCCGGATTCGCCGATGGGAGCCGATAGACTATTGCGGAGTCCTGAGGCCAAATTGGCTGTAATAATAATGAGATATGCGTGAAGCGTGAATATTATTGGTGCCCAACAATTGACTCCATTCGTGTTGGATTGCGAGTGTGGGGGGATGAGGAGAAGAAGACTTTGACAGCATCCGTGGGAGGAGATGCGCCATGCTGGGATAGGAGGAACATCTAACATCTATTTATGGATACTTTATCACTGTAAAGAGCTTTGCATTCTACACTTACATATACATATGGACGGGATAAAGTATGCTTGAAAGGGCAAGAGAAGGACAAACACTGAAAAGAGGTGAAGAGAATATATCACCAATTATATCGATAGTATTTCTGTTAGAAACTTTTCCCAAATGGTATCCATCGATGGGCAGTGGGTGTGCCAGCCTCTCCGGCTAGTATCCTCCCTAAACGCAGTAGGACTAATTGCAGACTCCGGCCAAGTCTTTTCTTGTAACTTCAAAAGAAAACCTTCCACATCTTCTCTTATTTCGGCTGTCATGGGAGAAATTTTAAAAAACATTTCTACCCAAGATATACCGTCGTTCAGAATATCTTCAGATACCCCGAGATCCTTAGCCATCTGACTAAAAGCGTTTGGAGTAGAAACTGTCTCAGAGCGGATAATGTCGTTACTATCCTCCGCACCTGTAGGATTATAAAAAGCTGGAGTTGCCACGTCTTCGTCCAATAGTTGTCGGTCGGTATCAGCGGTAATGTTACCGTGCTCATCGTTAATTGACGGTTCAACAACGAGGTCCAGACGAGCACTTCGACGTCGTTTACGTGGTGGCGGTGGTACAGTTTCGCCGTCGTCTTTATGCTCTTCGCCGCCCTCAATATGGCTCGGATCATTCAATACATCATCTGGCGGTGTAACACCTTGGGCAATCGATTGCTGCTTTCGTGGGGTGGTTTGCCCGGCAAGCGGGGGACAGAAAAACCGAGACTGAAAAGATTACGAATACACGCGCCTCAAATATTACGCCTACAAATCCTGACTCTTTAGGCATCTGCTACGGAGTACTATATCTATATTTCTCTAGTAACTACTACTATATCTATACTTCTTTAGTAGCTGCTGCTATAGTTATATTTCTCTAGCAACCGCCACTACCTACCGGGTATTATTTTTATACTGCGTCAGTTTCATAGACTAACTAGGTGCTTATATTGTTAAATGTATGCACTTATTTATTTTGCGGTCTCGCTTTTTCTGACCTCCGCTTGCCCGGTTCTGCCATCGTCTCGGGTGTCGATCAATCGCTGATCGATAGGGTTTAATCTGGCGCTGCGACGTCGGTATCGGGGTGGAGAGAGGGCAATTCCACTGTCATCTTGTATCTCATGATCTGGAATCGCCGGCATAATATCTGGTGTGACTTGTTCTCGCTTGGGATGGAGGCCTTCGGTGTCGGCCGGTATGCGATCGTCTCGAATGTCGACCAATGGCTGAACGACTGGGTTCAGTCTCGCGCTGCGACGAGTCGGAGCCATGTTCCTCGATTTGAAAAGAATTTGACGACGTTTTGGAGCCAATTGGACGATGTTCATGGCACTTTTACAATCTCTTGAATTGACTACATGATATATTCTTATTTCCCTGCCTCTACTTACTGAGGAAGGCACGATGGCCGCAAAGACAGACCTCCAGGTCCCTATACCTGCACATAACTCCCGTCAGTATTTTGGTCGGCTAGCTGGGTACATGTACCCATTGGCTCTGGCATGCACTGAGGCACCTACCAGTGTAATGCAGCTTTTACCGAGGTGGTTATATTGTAGGTAATTGTGTAAAATAATGCATATTGGTGGAAGAGCCTTTGGATGCATCAAACCTCCTCTAGTTGCCCATGTAACTAGCGAAATCTTATAAGTAGATTACTTTTATGTGTGCGTTGCATGGCTATTGCGTGATGATTCATATCTGTCCTATGTGATGATCCAGAAATGCAGCACAATGTCACGATTGCTCCCCATAAGATAACGATCTCCTCCTCACAGAGAGCGATTCGAAACACATCGCGCTCAAGTCTGCATACCAACTCCCCAACCACAGCAGCCAAGTCTACTGTTTTTTCTTGAGCTCTCCATTAGATTCTTCCCATTTTCTCGCCAGCGTAATCAGTTTCATTCCAGCTGCCGCACTCGCACCGTCTTCCAGCTGCTTTGTCCAGAAGCTTTCGTTGCCCGCAATCAGCAGCGATTTTCTGCGTTCTCGTTCTCTCGGACCAATGTGCTCTCCGTCACGCTTATGCTCCTCAATTTCCTCCAATATAGACAATCTTCTTGCGTACTGCTCGCTCCTCTCCCTGCGTAGTTCCTTGGAGCCAAAACGCTGGAAAATGACGCGAGCTACTGCCGTTAGAGCGAGGAGAATATGCTCGCTGATGAAGATAGTCAACGGTAGAGTCGACCAGCCCCCGCTCAAAACTCCATCAGTGCTGAATAAATGAACAATCGATGCGGATGTAATGCTCCCTAGCCACACGAGAATCTCCAGAGACACGATCCAAGGCCCAATACCATCTGCCCGGACCGGTGCAGGTCTCTGGTGCTCGATGCTAATTTTTGCAAAATCGGACCGAAGCTCGACCCAATTGTTGATGAGGAAGCCCAGTGGAATAAGCGGCCAGGCAGACGAAAACAGGGCCAGGTATCCAAACTGAAGAACCAGCTCTGCAATGTCATCCTGGACATTGTAGTGCTCTAATGTGGCCTCGTTGCGGCGCTTTTCCAAGAACTCGGCCTCGTCCTGATCGTCGGTGACCATGGAGATGAGAATAGTATCCTTTGTATAAGCGCGGCGATATTCCCGATACCAGCCGCTCATCTTATGCTTGATCAAGGGCAAGATGTTTTCCTCAAAAAAGCTCGACAATTGTCCGGTAACAGTCAACGTAATGACCTCGTGGCGCAGACGGTCAGAGTCCAGCCGGAATGGTATTTCGGTGAGATGGTGGCCGATACTGGGTGCGAATCGAACAATGTGACCCTCAAGCCAAGGGAATATTTGGTCGCCAAAGGGTACATAGACAAAAGCAGTGAGCAGGATGGGCAAATAGTTTGTGATGATGCTGAGAACGAAAATCTTTTGCGTGAGAGACATTTCGTGATTATCTGCTGTGCGGTGGTTCTCGTAGTTTGTTAACCACTTGGCCACTGTTTCGAGGTATGAACTGATGTAGGGAATCAGAACAGCCAGTAAAACCGTGGGCAAATAATCCTGTCGTCTCGTATTAGTCAGGTGCTTTTTATTTTGCCTTCCACCATATACCTGACCGGAAAGGCGACTCACAAGGTAGAAATTATTCGGACCATCATACGAATCGGATATCAGAATCTCGACAGCAAATACTGCACTGATCAGAATGCCGAGCGCTACGGTCGCGATGGCCATGAAAGGCACCTGGAGAAGTTGCCGTGAAATCTGCTTCCACTTGGGACTGTAGTGAATAGTTCGGCCGTATTTGTCCACAATGACTTTCTCATATTTGTATTCCGGTCGGTTTGTCTTCGTTTTGTTTACTCCCCTCACCTGCCAACGAACACTCAGGTCGACTTCTCGGACTTTCCAATATTCTAGAAAGACGGTACACCATACAACGGTTAGGATTGTGTAGACGATGGAGTATTTGGGAAGCCATAGCCAGGTGAAGAGGCCAGTAATGGCTGGGAAGATGAGAAAAGCCGAATATGATTGACCGAATGCAAAGTAAAACGAAACCTATGACATGACGGTATATGATTAGCAAATATATTCTAGAAATAATCGCACGGCTGCTGTGAGATTCACATACTTTTGAGCCGAAAAGATCTCGGATCTTGTCCAGGTCTTCGATGCCAAGGAGCAGTTTCTTACTAAGACCCCGTAGTAGTGCCTGGTTTACTTTATCATTGTGCATAGGGTAAATAGCCTTGACGTTCTTCCATTGGCCGATACCTGGAGTGATGCCTGCTCCTCCCATGGATTGTGGCCAGTTGACCAAATGGTCCATGGACAGAATGTCTTCAGCCTCGTACCATGCAGGCACGATGGTGTACTTGTTTCCCGGTGGCCGCGTTTGAGTGACGCCATAAAGCCAATCTCTCACTCTGCCTCGCACCATATTAGCTGCATTCTTTTGACAATACAATAAGTTATTTAAAGAGAAAGGAAAAAAAAAAAAAACATGCGAAAGTACATACCTCAATTTGTAAACTCTGTTTCCGAGAAGCGCACTTGGTGCCTTTACAAAGAGCAGGATTGTTTGTTCATATCCCGGCCTTACTTCAACGTGAAGGCCAGTAGCCTCCAGGTTTTTGAGCAAGGCAGTGAACTCATTTGTGGCTGTCTCGTAGTCTAACGTGATGTTTAGATGCAGCTCATGTTTAGATGACGATTATCATGGCTAGAATTACCTGTATCACTAAAGTCATAGACAACAACATATTTGTCGTTGTATGTTACATGAGCGGCCCGTGATGGCGATGGAGGTGGTGAGGGTGACCGGCGAAGCTCCGGATCTTTGACCGGCGGTACTTCCAAATGAAGAGGCATCGCGACAGAGTGGTACCGGCATATACAAATGACCAGCTTTTTCCTCTGTCTGCTTGAGATGGAGGGGCCTCGGAGCACTCTCGGCGATAGTTCTGGTGTGCCTGCTATTGGAGGCCAAACTGTCCGACTATCTGTCCGCGGACGCGATATTAGGAGGGGCCGAAGCTCCGGGAATTTTTGTTTAGATAGAACCGAAGGCTGTCCTCCGAGTGGTTGAAAGAGAACGGAGGCCTGTGAACAGTGAAATGCGATATTTGACTCCAGGAAAACTAGCCGACGGGCAAAACAGTCACACAAGAGGCAGATACAAACACAAAGAACGCAAAGAAAGACGAAGCTCCTGTCCCAGAGGTGTCAAGAGCTTTGACC